AGCAGAGGATCTAAATCTGGGGGCTGACAATATTTTTCCCAAAACAGAAGCTCTCAGAATCTAGAATAATCAGCACTGATTCTGCAATAAGGGTTTTCTCTTCCCTTTAAAACATTTTTTTTAGCAGTGAAATATATACTTTTAAAATTTTTAGTAGGACTAGTGCTGGATAGAGTGAGGCAGGAGGTTGGAGTTAAGAAGAGGGGCCTATTTATTCCACCCCCTAAACACCCTACATGGCCTCCTTGTTACATGGTTAGAAAGCCACTGTCTTTGAGTATGGCTTCTATGTTTTCGCTCATGGAAACAATACAAGTCTAGTATTTAAATACATCTGTTTTCTGGTACCACTATTTGAGTGCTTAATTAAAAAATATTCACTAAACTTATTATTATTTTGAAGGAAAAATGAAGACATTCTGAGCTTTTGAATGAGCTTTTGAAAAGGAAATCTCATTCAAGATTACATGAAGACATTTTCAATATTTAGAGAAATAATGAAGAACAAACAGGAAGATGTGCCCTAACTAAAATAAAATGGGTCACTGAACCCTGGCCATTGTACCCTTTTATTCCAGTTTTAATTGCTCTATAACCACAAAAAGCTGTGCTAGACAGGCAGTAGGTACCGTGACTAATAGGGCATTTGAGATGCTTGTATCTCATGTCGGTGTGCCTGAGGTAGGGTCCTGGGTTCATTTTTGATTCCAGATTTCTGCTCGGATGCATCCTGGGAGGTAGCAGGTGATGATTCAAATCCTTGGGTTACAGCCACCAGCAGGAGAAACTGGAGGAGTCTCATATCCCTAATTTGGCCTGGCCCAGAGGGACTGCTGTGTGTATCTGGGTAGTAAATTGGTGAGCAGCTTTCTGTCTGTCACTCTCTCTGATTTTCAAACAAACAAAAAATTTAAAATTAGAATTTTGCTGATCATAAATGAAGATATTACTCCTATCTTGAGTGACCTGCTGTGAACGCTGGTTCTGAGATTAAGCGACTCCAGTTGGTAGAACAATTAAAGAAAACTTAAAAACTCCAAATACCTTTGACATGTGTCTTAGCACTGAATCATCTTTCTTTCTTAGTATTCTGACTCAAGATTTTCTGTGTTTTGGCCAGGGTTCACAATGTAGAAGAAAAGATGTAGGCTGACTTCCCCAAAGCCTTTTGAACCTAGGCTGTAATGACTCATGGCCCAGAGCTGAGCCCAAATCAAGGAAAACATCATGCAGGTGTCAAGTGAAACAGAGTCCAAATCCCCAGGCCAGGCTTCAAAGCACATACAGACCGGACACCTTTATACTGAGATAACTGCATTAAGAACCATCTGGAATATGGGACCAAGTCATCTCAGACCATACTGTGGGATTCCTGGAGATTCCACACGTGGTGTTTCTCTGGGCTATGCAGTACAGCTTTTTCTTTAGCAACTCCTCATACTGTCAACAGCTCAGGGGTCATTTTATATTTTACATTACATCATGTCCTTAGTTATCCCTAGTCCTTATGTCTCTTTCACAAATGAGAAAATGAAAAGTACAGGGGGATTCTAAATGAGGGCACAGAGCAGAGTGCATGGTATGCAGCCACTTGACATGTTGGTCAAGTATTGCTGAGAAGAGACCAGAATATCTACTAACCATGGCTGGTATCAGACAGAGGAGCAGGTAGCCGGGAGAGGTTGGTTGAAAGTGTACTCACTCTCCTTTTTCATGTTTTATATTTTATACTTTGTATACCTATTACCTCTACCCTAAACACTATATATAGAATGGAAGTAGCTCATCCCATCTTCTCCTGTCTTGTATAGAGGAGGCCTGGGGAGCCCCAGCAAGATGGGTGGCACAGAGCCACTCGGAATCTTAGATGTGTTGGTAGAGGTGGGCAGGTAGAGGATACAGTCCCTAGTGTTCAGATGTGGAGGGAAGGACTGTAGGAGTTGTGGAAATAGAGAGGATGTTGGGACAAGTTAAATGTCACCAAGAGAAAATAACCAGGCAAATCCAGAATCAGGATAGTCTAACAAGACAATTGATTTGGACACTCAGGAGAGTGACTGATTAAAAGCAAATAGTAGTAGTGGAAGGGGAGATTAAAAGAGGTTAAGGAGATACTATAACCAAAAGTAAGATGTAGACATTGACTGGCTCCTGGATTGTTGGAACTCTTCGGAATACTAGAGTTGGATAGGATAGTATGTAATTACTGACAATAATAGTATTGAAATTGTGTTAGAGAACATCCCTGCTTTTCAGAGAAATGTAAGTATAAAGTATAATACAGTAGCTAGAATGAAAGCAATATGATGATTATAGCTTACTTAAAAATATATTTGAGGGCCCAGCGGCGTGGCCTAGTGGCTAAAGTCCTCGCCTTGAACGCAGCGGGATCCCATATGGGCGCTGGTTCTAATCCTGGCAGCTCCATTTCCCATCCAGCTCCCTGCCTGTAGCCTGGGAAATCAGTCGAGGATGGCCTGAAGCTTTGGGACCCTGCACCCATGTGGGAGACCTGGAAGAGGTTCCTGGTTCCCAGCTTCGGATTGGCATAGCACCGGCTGTTGTGGTCACTTGGGGAGTGAATCATCAGATGGAAAATCTTCCTCTCTATCTCTGCTCCTCTCTGTGTATCTGACTTTGTAATGAAAATAAATAAATCTTTATAAAAATATATATATATATTTGAAAGGCAGAGAGAGATATCCTCCAACTGCTGACTGACTCTTCAAATGCCCCCAATAGCCAGGGTTGGGCCAGCTGGAAGTGAGGAGCCTGAAACTGCCATTCAAATGGCTGTCACCTGATATTACTCATGGGCTGCACCAGCAGGAAGCTGGATCAGAAGCAAAGGTGCCAGGATTCACATTGGCACTTTGGTTACAGGACACAGGCATCCAATGTGGTGGTTCAAACCACTGTGCCACAAGGATGGTCTGACTCTAATTTACTTCTAAATGAAAGAGTATATATGAAGGTGCTTTAAAAGTTCATGGAAAACAGAATCTACAAACCATCTTGAGTCTCTTAAAAATAATTTAAAAATTACAAAACATGGAAAATAGAATAAAAATAAGCCGATATTGGTGCAAATTTGAAATTCAGGCTTAGTATCTTTATATTATGCATTTTCCATGAACTTTTTGAAGACTCCTAATATTCAGACAAAATGTAAATGTAGTGAATGTCAAAATGTATGTTTATAAGAAAATGCACAGACTCAAACTCATCAAAGTAGTCTCTATTGAAAATGTAACATAAAAAATGCTAAAGTTACTTCAAGTCCTGAAAAAGTCATTGTACCCTGGATATGTATATCTAGATGTGTTAGTGAGATGCTACTGTGGTGTTTCTAATATTTCTGTGGTTATACTGAAAGATAGAGGAATATTTTTTCTTAAATATGTATGTACTTGGTCCATAGGAGAGGCAGTGGAAGAAAAAGAGAGAGAGATAAAGTGGGAGAGAAACAGTTACAGAGCTTCTATCTGCTGGTTCATTCCATAAAACTAGCAACAGGTGGAAGCCAGGAGCTGGGAACTCAACATGGGTCTCCCATGTGAGTGACAGGCACCCAAGTACTTGAGTCATTACTTGCTGGCTCCCAAGGATATACATGAGCAGTATGCTGGAATTTAGAAGCTGAACCGGAACTTAAATCCAGGACTCCAATATAGGATGCATGGTCCCAATTGGCAGCTTCTTCTTCTTCTAAGATTTATTTCTTTTTATTGGAAAGGCAGATCAGATCCATGGCGAGGAGAGACAAAGGCCTTCCACTTGCTGGTTCACTCCCCAAGTGGCCATAATGGCCAGAGCTGAGTCAGTTTGAAGCCAGGAGCATCCCATAACATTTTTAACAAGTAAAAAGTAAAAATCAAGAAAGACTTATATGTGAGGGGAGAGAGAGCCCAGGAAAGGAAAAGTCCTATGAACATGAGATACAACAAAATCATCACAGTCTTTGATTTTGGCTCTGAGCTTCCTGGCAACCAGGACCAATGGGGTAAATCTTGAAGGGTTCCTTGGTCTTCACTAATCACAAAAGGGAAACACATTCCGATTCTTCAAGGGAGCAAAGAAAGCTACTCTGAGCAGAGAAAGTCCATGCCTTACTTGTTCATATCCTGTTCTTGCCAGAGTTCAGCAGCCTACTGCATCCACTGCCTGATGCTCCCTTCCAGTCCATTCTAGAAAAGTTCTCCTGGGGAGGGAGATGCCAGGAACAGCATCCTTATTAGCACGGCTGAAGTTAATCAGGCCAAGGGTTTGAGATTTACCAGTTTCTTGTATTGACAGTAAACAGAGATATGACTCTGGGACATGAGCTAGGGTGTTGACCTAAGACCACCAATTTCTGAAGGACATGTTTGATCCCGAATAAAGTCTAGAATATCTATGGACAGACTGTGTATGCTTCACATGTATGTATATACCCATCATTTCTCTGAACTTTGATATCAATAAATCTGCCTCCCAAGTAAATACATTAATTAAAAAATAAATTTAGGGCCTGGCAGCATGGCCTAGCAGCTAAAGTCCTCGGCTTGAACGCAGCGGGATCCCATATGGGCGCTGGTTCTAATCCCGGCAGCCCCGCTTCCCATCCAGCTCCCTGCCTGTGGCCCGGGAAAGCAGTCGAAGATGGCCCAAAGCTTTGGGACCCTGCACCCGCTTCGGAGGCCCGGAAGAGGCTCCTAGCTTCGGACTGGCTCAGCTCTAGCCGTTGCGCTCACTTGGGGAGTGAATCATCGGATGGAAGATCTTCCTCTCTGTTTCTCCTCTCTGTATATCTGCCTTTCCAATTAAATAAATCTTTTAAAAAAAAGTTTAAAAATCCTTCATGGGGCTGCTTTCTTCCTACTTGAGCAGATAAAACAAAAGGTCCATGTGCACTGCACAGATCAGTGAGCCGGGAGGGGATAGAGAGCTTAGCCTACTTTGCGTGGAGTCCACAGCCTGATTCCTGGCCAGATGAGGTCATTCTCTGCTCATGTCATTACCTTGAACTTCTCCTCATAGTTCTCGAAGGCTTCCATGACCATACACACAGCCTCCATGGAGCGCTCAAGCCGGCCATCCACCCCATTGAAGCGGTACATGCTTCCAGACACATCCACCACCAGGCGCAGGCGCTTGGGCTTCTGCTGCGGGCTGCCCAGCTGAGGGAGCAAGAGAGAGGGGAGGGCATGATAGAAAAAAGCCATGAACCAACACATGCCTGAGGTCTGGTGGCCTGTGAGATCAGCTGGAGGCTGGGCGCTGAACAGGGTCCTCCTGGCAGGTAGAAAGGCATCCGTGGGTTTGGATTTCAGTAAAGAGGATGCCAGGTTTGTGCTGGTAGTCAAGGCCGTATGGAAAAGACTTTCCTTTGGGATAAAATTCTGTCAAGGCCCAATCCAGTTTAGTAACACTGATTTATGAAGGCTGAAGTTTAAAAAAATAATATGATACCATGAAAACGATAACCTGGAAATACAGAAGCCCTAACATGTCATTTTGACTTCATGCCTTGGAGCTGGTAACTCGAGCAAGAACGAATGTCATTTTGGAGGGAGGCTTACACTGATGCTGCTGGAACCTGCTGTGTAGTGATGGCAGCCTGCAAAGCCTGGAGAAATACCAGATCCCTAAAACATGGGCAGGTGAGGCAGGTTCTGGCAGAGAAGCTAAGGAGAATCTTTCCAAACGCCTTTGGCTTCAGTTAGCTTTCAGTATTCTCTTCCTTCCAGCTGCTGGACTACTGCTTCTCTGCTTGGCGGTTCAAAGCAAGAAAGTGGTATCCCACTGCGGTCCAGCGGCAACTGCCAATTAAAAGGCAAAACCTAGGAGATTTGGCTTGCTTCTGAACTCCTACTTGCCAATCTGCAGGATTTACAGAGAACGTCTGTCTATTTTATTGACCAATTAAAAAAAAAATCTAGATGATTCTGTTCTTACAGACTTGCTGAGATAAATGGAAATTAATAAGGAAAGTTAGTAATTAGAAGAAAATACTCTGGGTATTTACAGAATAATGATTTGAGGTAAATTCAATCTCATTTGAAAAAAATAATATTGACTCTGTCCAAATTGAGATCACTGTCACATATGCTTCCATGACTACTCAGAATCTCAGATGTACTCAAACACATGCGTCAACCACAAGGAGTCAGGGAAGCAAGCAGCTGACTCACACCAGTGCCACAGAGAGAACTTCCCAAATTGCCACCAGAGCCTCTTCAAATAAACATGTAAGTGACTTTCCCTGCTCTGCCAGCCCCCAACCCCCCAGCTCCCAGGGCACACTCAGCAGTCTGCTCATTCAGGGAAAAGGAAATACTCCACCAGACTCGGTATTTCACTGTGTTGCCTTTCTTTTTTTTTTTTTTTCTTTTTTCTTTTTCTGGCTTTAGTATTGCAAATACTTTAAAAGGAAGGGCTGTCAATAACTTTACATACCACTTTTGGTAAAGGCAGATTCCCTAATTTCTAGAATTTTCCTCAGGGATGTGATAGACACAATTCTTTAAAGTGACAGAACAGAAGGAAACTACCAAGATGTCTCTACTGCTTTCACCTGGAGAACTCCCTGGGCTTGGCAGACGCATTGAGTCTACGCAGCTTCGCTGTGCTCAGGGCTGACCTCTGTGTCTGCATCAGCTGCTGCTTGGCTGCTCAACTGCAGTGAGTTCTGCTGGGGCACTGGCAGGAGAGGAGGGTGGGGTTGGCTGCTCTTTCTCTGCTGTGGCCCATGCATTGCGCTTCCTCTTCCGGGGACCCAGGTCCCCTTCTCTGGGTTCCAGTCACTGCCCATTTGCTCTGCTGTGTTAGTCCTCGGGCTAGGATCACTGCTCTTACCGCCAGCTCTGAGTGACTGTCTTGGACTTTTCTTTTTTCTTTTTTTTGTATTAATTTCTGTTATTCTTTTTTTTAAATTATAATTTTGATAACCATTACGTAGTTTAAAAAGTTCAAGGGCTACAGGAGAGTGGGTAAGACTACTATTTCTACACTGTTTCCTTCATGTATCTGGTATCTGGGATAAAGGGGAATATTAAATTAAGGGAGAAGCCCCACCCAGTCTCCCACCCACCCCAGGTCCCTGATGTGGGGCATGCTCCGAGGGTCCTGCTCAAGTGGTCTTGATAGCTCAACAGTCATGAACTGCTGTCAGTCTTGCCACTCCAAGCACGATTAGGTCATTGAAGAATCTACTGATTGACATTTCTAAGCCTCACCCTTGCATTTATCTACAGTTTTGGTACTATCTTCTTAATTCAAGCATTTATCTATTCAAGAATTTATCAAGTCAAGCATTCCGTATGTTTCTTGATGGGACTTTAATTTGTATAATCCTTTTTCAAACATAATTCTTCCCGTGGTTGTCATATGCAAGGTTTCTGAGGCTTGTGGTATTTTGACCTAACTTGAGGAAGTAGGTTTCTGTACAGAAGGCGGCAGCAGGCTTGACTCACCTGCGGCTCCAGCTCGCCCCGGCGCTTGTAGATGGCCTTTTCTCCTGTCAGCCCGTCAATGATCTTAGCATCGTCTAGTTCGCCAGTAGCCTGGTGTCTGAGCCACTGTCTTTCTTTCCCTTTTGCCTACAATGACACACACATAACCTCTAAGTTTAATTAGTTCTGCAAAGGGTCTCTGACAATTTGTACATGAATAACAGGAAGCACACTGGGATCCTTTCAATACATGAGGTTCTGCTGGAATACATGGAATGGTATCTGTTCTGCTGACAAACATGTCCTTTGTGTGGATTTTTGACACATTTAATTGCCTTAACACACGAGACAACAAAATGAACTCAATGCACAAGAACAGGAAGACGGTATGCCAATGAATCCCTGGAGAAACGCTCAGGATTTGGAAATGCAATGGTGATGCATTTCCTGCGGATTTTCTGCCCTGGTGCCTCTGCAAACTTCATAAGGTAACAAAATCATCAGCTTGAATTTGTTAATATTGTCTGCGAGCTCAGAGAAAATGTAATCTTTAGAAATGTTTAACTTTTCTGTGACTTGGTATGCAGAGGGAAACAGCTGAAAACAATAGTAGGCAAGCATTTTATATGTCACGCATCTCTGGTTTTCTACACTCAGAAATCTTCTGAGTTACTGTTCTAAAGATATTTCCAATATCAGCCTTTTTCACATTTAAACATATTTTATTTTGTTTTCTGATACAGTTCCATAGGCTCTGGGGTTACCCATGCCCTCCCCAAGGTTTCTTCTTCCCCTCCCATATAACACTTTGACACTTTGGGATAGCTTATAAGTATCCCAAGCGGGGGTAGAGGGTTGGGGGTGGCTAAGAGATTGGTAAATGATGAAAAATTATAATATCCCCCCCATCAAGGTGAATCTATATTACAGTTGATGACTATATTTATGTTGTGAATAAAAAGTGGTAAGAATAGCTAAAATATGTCTATGCATACAAACCAGACAGTGTTTTCTGGAGTCACACAGCCAAATGCAAACCACCTTTCTCTGTGGTCTCCTCTTTTCTTTCTTTCTTTATTTTTAAAGATTCATTTATTTTTATTGGAAAGTCAGATATACTCTCTGTCTTTTTTTGATCCTGCATCCATGTGGGAGACCAGGAAGAAGCTCCTAGCTCCCAGCTTCAGATTAGCTGAGCGTTCGCTGTTGTGGCCATTTGGGGAGTGAACCAGATAGTGGAATAACTTTCTGTCTTTCCTTTTCCTGTAACACTTCAGGATATTTACTTCAAATATAAGTAAATAAATCTTAAAAAAAGAAAAAAGAAAAAAGAAAAAAGTATAAAGCTAAGTGGCAGGTAGCTGATGTTTATTTCTGGAGTATATCAGCCATACACAATGAAGCTTTATGCGTTACAATTCTGGGTGTTGCTATATTTATTATCTCCCTGTTTCTGGTGCCCTTGCTGTGAAGTGGTACAAAATTACCACTTTTGGATACAACCTTATTGATGCACACATAAAATCAGGGGAAAGAAACTCCTAATTGCCCAGCATGACAATGTCAGTTCGAGTGGGCAGTTAATTCCAGAACTACCCAGCTGGTGTTCTTCAGGAGCATGTTCTTTTTTTTTTTTTTAAGATTTATTTATTACAAAGTCAGATATACAGAGAGCAGGAGAGACAGAGAAGAAGATCTTCTGTCTGATGATTCACTTCCCATGTGGCCGCAACGACCGGTACTGCGCCAATCCGAAGCCGGGAACCAAGAACCTCTTCCGGGTCTCCCATGCGGGTGCAGGGTCCTAAAGCTTTGGGCTGTCCTTGACTGCTTTCCCAGGCCACAGGCAGGGAGCTGGGTGGGAAATGGAGCTGCCGGGGTTAGAACCGGTGCCCATATAGGATCCCAGGTGCGTTCAAGGAGAGGACTTTAACCGCTAGGCCACGCTGCCGGGACCAGGAGCATGTTCTTGGTTGGAGCCCCACAATGCCAGAGAAAAATGGAGCACAGCAGTCATACAAAGCTTGGTGAGGTGCAAGGCACAGGTGCATAGAGAGGGGTGAGTATAGCCTTCTGCATGCCTACTGGTCTGTGGCCCAGAAAGCTGTGATCACACAGCACCGTCCTCCTCAGGTCCCCCCTGCTGCTTGAGTGACTCTGACTTGGGCCTGACCTGTGGCTGGGGTGCTGCTGGAAAAAGTGACTGTGGATGAGCATTTTGGCATCTTTCAGTCCTAACTTTCTATACATGTTGGCAGTAGCAAGCCAAAGAACACTGCTGTTTGAAGCCTTTCCTCGGTGAACACGGACTCTCATTGACAAGTGTGTCTGGGAAAAGCAGCAGCAGAGAAACAGAAAGAAAATGGTGGCAGCAGCTGGCTGCCATCAAATCAGCAAGAAAGTTAGGCTCTTGAACTATTTAACAGGAATGTGGGACTAGAATTCACATGATTTAATGACATGTTACATAAGACCGCTGAAATCATTGCGCATTGGTTATCCAGTTTCCTAAACACATCAACAAGGCAATGACCCCACGCACTGTTATCCAAGTCCATTAGCTACTACAGCTTCTTTCATCAGTGACGCTTCTATATGTAAACCTATAGAATTTTTTCAGCTTTGCAATAGTATAGATGAAGTAATTCTTGTGATTCCTGTAGACAACATGGTAAAAATAGACATAAACTCCATGATATAGAAGTCAAATAAACATAAAATGCTAATATTCTAATTATTAACAGTATATCTTACAAAGATGGAAAAAAAAATAAATGCTACCAAGATAATAGGCAAAGAAGGCAATTGTGATTTGGCTACTGTAACTGGAAGGATGTACCCATAATCTTGGCAGAGCAAGACAGGTATTGTCTCATTATTTCCACTGAGAAGTGACAATGGCTCAATTCACTTTTAACTTGAGTTAAAATTCCTAATTATTATTTGAAATGGCTTGAAAATTACTATAATAGAGTATTAGAATAATGAGCAAAGCAATGAAGTTTAGAGTGCAAATGCATCACAAGTGAAGTAGGATTTTTTATTGCAGCTATGACTACACTTGCAATGAGACCTACAACATTTCAACATTCACAGATTGGAAGAATATTTTTACCATTCCCATACTATCTAAAGCAATGTATAGATTCACTGAAATCCTCACTATAATACTAATGGCATTCTTCACAGAAAGAGGTCCTAAAATCCATACAAAGTCACAAAGACCCCAACTAGCTTAGAAAAAAAAAATCTTGATCAAAATAGAACTAAGCTGGAGGCATCATAATACCTTATCTCAAATGCATTACAAAGTTGTGGTAACTAGAGTGAGGTGATACTGGCATAAAAAACCTGACATGTAGACCAATGGCATAGAGATCCCAAAAATAAGTTCACATACATATCTACAGTGAACTCATCTTTGACACAGGTGTCAAAAATACACACTGCAGTTCTGGTGTGTAAAACCAGACAGTACATTAGGGGGACGATGGTTTACAATAATATATTGTACATTTTATGAAGAATTGGAAGAGTGGAGTTCCAAGGTTTCCATTACAAGAAATGATCAATGTTTATGGAAGTGGAAATGCTAACGACCCCGATCTGATATTTATACATTATATACTTTGTACTTAATGACCACACTGCACTCCATAAATATGTGGAATTTAAAAATGAACTTCTGAAACAGTTTACTGCTACAGAAGCATAAGGCTTATTATGCTGATAGAACCTTCAAACAAATATTTTCCTACAAAGAATAAGGCTCACCACTCAAGAGAAAACTGGGTTTAAATTTGCCAGGAGGATATGTGGATACAGGATTGTTTGTTACAGGCAAGGTCTTGCCATTAGAGAGAGGAGACAACTCCACATTTCATGAAAGACATCACAGAATGTTTAAAGCTAGAAGTTGGGGTGACGAATTCAAGTGTAATGAATTACTTTTCTTTAGGCACTCAAGAAGCACAAAGGAAGTTGCTAAATTTCAAGTAATATGTATTTGGTTATGTAAAATACATAATCGTTTAAACAAATCAGAAATGTAGGTAATATCACAGTTTTTGATAAGACTAAAAATTGGGGCAAGGATTGCGGCATAGCAGCAGGTTAAATTAACATTATGGCCACTACACATGGAAGTTCTGTTACTTTGTCTTTTAAATAAATAAATATTTGAAAGAAAAGACTCATTAACCTGTTTGATTTTCTTCACACTAATTGCCATTTATAAGTGCTCTATTTGTCACTTTGTCTCAGGAATTAAGGGTATTGGAATAAAAGCCCTTATTTATTTAGTTGATTGTAACCTTAGTATCCAGAACAAGGCTGACACATGGTAGGTGCTTGATGCAGTATTTGTTGAATGAAAGTTGAATGTTTACTGTAAAATGTTAAGTGATTATGATACAAAAGCAGGTACATTTACAATTATCTCAATGTATATGAATGCATATTGCATGTACATTATATATATGAAAAACTATGTGGGAAGAAACAAACCAAAATATTAATAAGAGTGATAGTTATTTTGGAGCTGTGAGATTATCAGTGTTACTGTTTTCCTTTTTATAAAAGATTTAGTTATTTGAAAGATGAAGTTACACAGAGAGGCAAAGACAGAAAGAGTAAGATCTTTGATCCACTGGTTTTATTCCTCAGCAGCTTGCAATGTCCAAGACTGGTCTAGACTGAAGTCACAAGCCAGGAACTTCTTCTGGACCTTCTACATGGGTGCAGGTGCCCAAGGACTTGGGGCATCTTCTATAGCTTTCCCAGGCAGAGTATCAAGGAGCTGGATTAAAAGTGGAGCAGCTGGGATATGAATCAGTGCCTGCATCCAATGCCAGTGTTACAAGTGGGCTCCCTTTCTTTTAGTTTCTGCATTTAAAAATTTTCATACAATAAACTTGTGATAATTTGCAATTCAAAATAAATAAAATTATTTATTTCACACAAGAATTCTAAAAAAAATTCAATAATTTAATGAAATATACCTTTGAGTCTAGCTTGCAGCTTATGGGGAGCAGGGCTTCTCAAACTCTATGTGTATGCTATCAATGTGGGGGATCTTGTTAAAATGTAATTCATAATTCCAAGTGATATCTGAGCACTAAACTTTGATATGATGCAAATATTTGCTA